AGTACGCTCTTCAGTTACAAGCAGCCTTTTCAAAGATGGATCACCAATAACCGAATTAGCAGTAGTCTCCATCTGCAAATAAAGAGAACCCACCCTATTATGACCATTGTTAAGACATACATGTGAGGTAGTTAAAAAACAATACCAGAAACCACATGTTTCACAAAGAACAACTGTCATAGGAAAGTAAGTAGACGGTTATAAGCTATAGGTGAACCCACAAAGACCAGAAGAACTATGCTTCAATTAAAAAAATCTGATCAATAGATATTATGACCTATAAAGAGTGTTTGCGAACTAGCAAAACTGCATAATAAAGGGTTATAATGTGATATAAACCTTTCCTCCTTCGCTTAAAGTAAATGAAGAAGTAAAGTTTAATTATATACCCTCGAACTTCTTCCGGGATACGTGTTGTAAGGGACGGGCTGGAACTGAAGATGCCCCCTGTTTTCTTTGGGACCGTACCCTGGGGTCGCTATGCCCAGATTGAGGTCAAGATCGTGACTGCCACCTGAGTTGAAGACAAATACAAACCTCATTTCACATTTCAAAATTCATTTTAACAATCACACTCAATTGGAAAAAATATATCAGAAGAATATCAAGCTATGAAGACCTGCCTTCATTAATTGCTGCAGGTTTCATCTCGCTCTCATATGTACTTGGCTCAAAGTTTGTCACTGCCTCTCTTCCATTGCACTTGATAGCTGCCTTGTCATAAGCCCTGATTTCCAGAAAATCAAAAGGGATACACATGTTGGTTTGAATCGTAATGAGCTTTGATAATTCAGGGTAAGAAATTTAGTGCAGGTAGAATGTAATTCATGTATCATTTGGACCTTGCAGCTTCTACTTCGCTGTCGAATAGCCCAAGATATATATACCTGCACGAAAGCATTGCAATCTCTATAACAACAAAATCACCTCTGCCAATCGTTTCTTTGAAACAGGCATCCTAAACATGTTTCTCCAAACATGGAAAAAGCCTAAAGAGTAAAGACCCATTGACTATCGAGCTGAAAACAATTGGCTTTGAATTCGTATTTCAGTTATACCCATAGCTACACCCGAATTCAGTAGGTACTTGAAATCTACCAATATCTAACCGTACAAACATAGCAGAACACTACAACAGTTTTAGTTCACATCAAAAAGTAGGTCCTCACTTTTTGCCAAGGAATTGTCCCATTCGAGCTTCCCAACGGCCACATTTGTGAAGTGTCACTCCCCGGTATTTCGAACTCCCCCTTGAGAAACCTGTACTGTGGCGGCGGAGTATGTGCACGAATTCCTCTTTGGAAAGATTCTTCATCTGTCCAACAATAAAAAAAAAACAAAAAAAAACACACACGCTGAAAAACCAATCGCAAGCTCCATCTAGATTTAAATTCATCAAAAACTTATGCCTTTTCCAACCTGTTTTAGATCGTCCTCATAATCAACAAGATTAAAATTGATGTCAGCATCAAGTCCCCTGAACTTAATAGCGGCTCGATCATAGGCCCTAAATTTGAAAATTCCAAGTCAATTCAGGAAGAACCAATCAAACCCTCGTATAACAAAGGACAGGTTCCGTTGGTAAATAAAACAACAACAAAAGATATCAATTAAAATACGTGCAAAAAGTTTTACCTAGCAGCGGCATGAGCAGTGTCAAATCCACCTGCAACGCCCAACACCAATCCAATCAAAAGAAGCTAAAAATAGCAAAGAAGCATAGAATAATAAACATAACATAAAAGAAAATAATTATTCAAAAATACAAATCCATACCTAAATACACTTGTTTCCCGCAATCCCTACACAGAACAAGAAACGTCAGATGTAACTCAAATTCAACCATGAATAATAATCAAATTCAAATTCCACTCCAAATTACAATTAATTCAAACAAAAACCTAGCAAAAGGGGGGAAATAATCAACTACTCAATAGACGCTAAACAGAACAATGTGAAGTGCACGAACCAGATATGCGATTCCCATCTTCCGGTCCTCCTGTAGAAGGTAACACCTCTGTACTGAGAACTCCGAGAGCGTGGACCTCTCCTACTTTTCTTCACCTGAGGCTGCTGTTGCTGAACCTGAACAACCTTCACCTCGCCGTTTTGATGATCCACCGAGAGATCCATCAAACTCGTCTTAGCCTGAAACGACGACGTCGAACTCTGCCCCTGCCAATTCTCCGCGCTCACCGGAAACAGCTCCTGCGTCGCCGCAACGACGTCGTTCACGCCCTCCACCTTAAGGATTCCGAAGTTGAAGGTGAACATGTCGCCGGCGCGTGTGGAGCACGAGTCCTCGTTGCTCGAACCCTCCGCATTCACGACGGAGGAATTCGAAGTTTCCGAAGAAGCTTCGGGAAACTTGTCCAACAGAACCAGCGAGCCGTCGTTATGAGTCAACTCGGCGTTCAGGTTAAGATCCAACATCGCGCTTAATCTTTAGAAATATTTTTCAACTCTAATTCTCTTTCAATTTTTTTAGGTATTATTTATCCGCCTTGTTAATTCGAACTAAAACATAGTAAACTAATATTGCTTCAACGTCACCGGAGATTCTCTTCGAGAGACGGTTCCAACCGATCCAATCGAAATGTAACCTAAACCTAAACGATTGAACAAGCAATATGGGAAGGTGTAGTCAGCGACTAGAAAGTACTTGAACTAGTGATAGAATGAGTAAGAGCTTCTTCAACGAACAAGGAATCTGCGCGAAATAGAAGCAAGGATAAGAAAACATTAAAACGGAATTTGAAGATTCACCAGTAACTGTGCTTTCGCCGGAGAGCGAAGGAGGAGGATGAGAAAGAAACTCACAGGAGGAAGTGTGAGAAGGAAGCAACCCGAGGTTTGGTAGTTGCATTTCTCATTTACACGAAAATGATTTCAGAACCGGAGAGAATTAATACATCGGACAATACCAGATTCCATGGCACCGGAGAGAGATGAGAGGATACGGAAGACTCTTAAATTTCGGACCCATATTATGAGATGACGGAATATATAAACATTTTCTCTCTCATGGTTCCAACTTCGGACTGGTTGGTACGGTCACCGGTCAAGAAAAAGGAGATTTATTGTTTTTATTTTTTATTTTTTATTTTTTTTATTTTTTATTAGTCAGTGACACCAGTCGAGTTGTGGTCTCGTCGACGGAAACAGCCGTCCACCCTAACGGCTGAGTTTCTTGTTAAATTAAGGTAATAAGGGTATTTTTGGTAGTATCAGATTTGATAAGCATATTTTCAAAATTACAATAACAACATAAAGTTTCACTCTAAAATTTTATATATGTTATTTTAAATCTCATCACTAAAACTACTCTGATAGTTGATAATATAAAATATGATAATATTTTAATTCTAATATTCCTTTAATTTGTATATGTATGGCTATGGCATATGATTATCCGATTTTAATTTGTATGAACTTTAATAATAAAATATTATATAATTATTGATAACATTGACTTTAACTTTTATCTTATCAAACATAAAAGTTTATTTGACCGAATTCTGCTTTGATTGTCATATTTTATAAAACTTTTTGATACTAATTCATAGAATTTTTCTTATGAAGAAAAAATTTAGATAAGGATGATACATTTGATATCGTTCTTATATTTAATTCTAATAAAAAAATATTTTTTTATAATTATTTTGTAAAATAAATTTAATGTAGTCAATTAATTATCATTCATTTGTTTTATCTAATAGTTTTGATTGAAGTAATAAATAATGCTTATTTTTTCCACCTCTATTAAACAATTAATGCAGTCTTTAATGTGTGGAGTGAGAGAAAGTAACTTCTTTTCTAGTGCTTAAATGTATTAATTGTTAAATATTAATTAATTGGAAAAATAGTTATATTATTTACCTAAAATTTTATTTATTTAATCTTATTTTAAAATATTATAGAAAAAGTGTAGTTGACTTTAGATAATTAAACATTTTAATGCACAAATTATTATTTAACTAAGTCTAATAACTAATTAATTCAATTAATATAATACCACTTAGTCTATCTTAATTAGTTCAGTAAGGTATATGAGTTATTGTCAAATTTATTTTATTTTTTTTACAAGTTTTCATTTCACTGGATAAATTTTTTAAAATATATATGATCTAATGCATGTATAGAAAAAATATATGTAAAATATTATTGTACATCTAAATATATGTTTAGATTACAGTTGGCCTGATAATAGAGAGTTAAAAAATGTTATATATTAAGCTATAGTTATAGCTTAATATATAACATCTTTTATGTTATATTAAGCTATAATTATCCTATTTTTCATCATTGAAAAATTAAGAAAAAATTATAACTCATATTTATAATCTATAAAATCAAAAATGGATCTCTATGATAAAAAATAATAATAATAAAGAAATCCTATAAGTAAACCATGTAACCACGGTAGAAAGATAATAAATCTTTTGTCTTGATTTCTCTTGTAAAATTGCACACTAGGCAAACCACTCTTTTACATTCCCTCATTAGCCTATATAAAGTTGAGCAACTTCTAAAAATTGCTCATTTTCATCTGGTATAAAATATGACATCTGATATATATAGTCCTGGCGTTTAAAATGCTTAGGGTAGTGCACAACATTGTACTTCTTCCAATTTTTATTATAGTCGTTTTCACACTACCTTTTTTTTTAATCTTTTTTATTATCATTTTTTAAAAATTAATGTTTTATTAATTTTTTCTATTTTTATTCATGATAACTAATGTGTATTTATTAGATAATGTATTTATTCATTTTTATTGTACTTATTTTTCCTCTAATTATTAAAAAATATTAAAAAAATAAGTAATAAATATTTTAAAATATTAAAATATTAATATTTTTTAAATTTTTATGTATAACTTTGAACATCAATAAAAAAAAAATTGGAAAGAGTAGCTAAATCATGCACCTAATTAATTTTTCCAAGTTTGAATCCCAACATTTAGCACTGGAATATGCCGAAAACGTTGAGTCAAAGGTTGCAATATGCATCATGGAGCTTGTATTTTCTTAACCTTAAAAGGGACTGAAAGATGAGAAATATTGGTATTCTTGAGAATACCTCCTTAGCATGCGTTTGAATTGTCTAGAATGCACTTTTTTTTATTCATCTACATGGTAGACCGCACTTAAAATGTCTAGTTTCTTTCGAATAATTATTTATTTTTTTTAACTAATTTTGCTCTAAAACAGTTACGTAGTTTTTTTTTAAACTAATTATTTATTGGTTCACTTTTTTTAATCCTACTTATTCATTTAGGGTTCGTTTGTTTAAATTTTGTTTTTTAAAAATTACTTTGTTAACGCTATAAGTAATATTTTTTTTTTTTAATGTGTTTGTCTATTTAAAAAAAAACACTTTTTCTATTATTTTTTTAAATGAATCTTGTTTACTTCTTAAAAAAATTAAAATTGTTATTTTTTTAATTTTAAACAAGGTCTATTTTAAAAACACTCATTAATCACCTTTTTTTACAAGTTCAAATAGTTCTTCGCGGGTTATGTGTCTAAGTAGTTTGGAGATTAAATTAGAACAGTCACCGATCCAAATCTAAGTCTTACCAATTGATTAAAAGTTCAAAACAATTTAATCTATTTTATGAAGTATTTATGCATAAATTTAAATGTGCAAAACATTATTAATAGACTTCAAATTATTTATTTATTATTATTATTTTGGCAATCTTTAAAATAGATATTTATTTCTCTTATAGTATGGATTGTTATTAAAGTGAACAAATTTTAACTCATTTAGGAATTTGATACAATTTTTTATTTTAATTTAAATAATTTGAATCTTAAAATTAGAAACGATATAATTTTTTATATGAGTAGAATTATATTTTGAATTGTTTTAATTTATTTTTTATTATTGTAAAATGTATAAAATTTAAAATAATTATCAATTAATAATATAATTTTTTAATAAATAATACTTTATATTACATTATATTATATTTAAAAGAATATTTTTTATTTTAAAATATATATATATATCATAAAACATGTTTTAATTTAAATTTTATAATTTAATTATATATATTAATATTGGTATATTAAAGTAAAACATTAAGTTATCCTATTTTTATTTAATATATTTTTGGTCAAGTTTAAATTTATATAAATAATCCGATATGTCAGATAAGACTAAGAATAAACTCCTTCCGTGATGATCCTAACTATTATGTGATTGACATCGATTGATCAATGGCCCAACACCTTGTCACTTCGGTTCTTGTCACTAAAGAGATTTGCTAATAAAAAATAAAGATTTTAAAAAACGTGATGATGAAGTCAATGAACAAGTGTATTAGTACCTGGTGTCAAGCAGAATTAGCTTTTTGGCCAAGATTTTTACTATGGGACAAGTGAAAATTTGAAGGATAATTGATTGGTGTGGATGGTTGTGGGTGCATGGGCTCTCATTTTTGAAGTAACATGTACATTAGATATATTGTGGTTTTGTAGGAAGGAGTTTGCATTTGGTAATGTGATTGTTTCCCATAATAATGTGATTTGTTTCCCATACTGCTATTGAATTGCGTCTTGGAGTGTATGTCGAAGCCGCCCTTGCCCACATCTGGTGGATTCATGCTCTCATGTTGTACTAAATTTATCCTCTCAGAACTCAGCTGCTGGTGGCGTTTTCTGTCATCACAGAACCGCTATATCTTGTTCTCTTTTTAAGCTAACTTTGGGTGCTGTTCAATGCTAGCTAGCTACATGCAGAATTATGGATTATTTATAACGGAGTGGCTCTTGCTTGGAACATAGGCTACTTGATTTTGTTGTTCAGACTGATTCTCTGAACGCTATTAACCTTCCGAGAAAAGATTGTGCTACTCATCATCCATACTTTTGGAGAACTTGTACATTTTTAATAATATTTTTTCTTTCTTTCTTTTACTTGTTCATGCTAATATAACTTCTATTGTTTTACCTTTGTAATTTTAATTGATTGTTGTTGGAGAATTTGCTCTTTTAAAAAAAAATAAAAATGAAGAAGTATATCCATTTTTAGCCAAACAAAAATAAGAACGGTTAATCGATAAAAATTTACCATTCGTGATCTCATATGTCGTTTTAATAAACTAATAACTATTAAATTTATTGAATTAACTGTAACTATTTAGTCATGTCTTATAATTAATTTAAGATTAAATTACACTGTGGGTTCTTATAAATCATTAAGTTTTTTTAATATATTTCCGTAATTTAAAAGCTTTGAACATAAATTCATATTTTAAATAATTAATTGAATCCTTGTTTTTTTTATTGGTATCGAGGTAATATTTGATTAACACAAATCACTTATAAATTAATTTTTAAATATTAATTTTAGGAAATTGTGTAAACGATAGGGGAAAAAATTGAGTCCTTATTCATTAATAGTCATTAAAATTCTGTTAATAATACCACGTTTGAAAAATACATATAATCAATATGAAACTATTTAAGAAATAACAAAACTGAGCAGATTCTAAGATTTTAAAGTCTATCCACAATTTTTAGTAAGTCTTCAAAATATAAAAAAGAATTCACACTGACATTTGGAATCTTGGCATAAAAAGCCCTATTGTAGTTTCACGTGCTTGTTTCTACATTTGTTTTTCCCATTTTACATGAGACAAAACAATATTTTAATCATGAGGTACCTTTTTAGCCCATACTTTTTAAACAGGAGTTTTGGTTGATGGTTAAGTATTTCTTTCATTCTTTTTTTTTTTTTATTTAGTTATTTTTATAAGATATTTTTTTAATTATCTATTACATTAGTTATTTTTTCCACAATATCCTAATCAGAAGTTTATAGGTATGAATATAACAAATGATATAAATCAATGAGGTAATCTCCCTTTCTCTTTTTATATAAATAAAGAAGATGAGAAGCAATTAATTGAACATAGATGATTAATTTTAAAATTATTAAGAATAATTTTAAAAAAAATGATTTAAATTATTAATAATTTTAATATAACAATTAAACTAACTAATTT